ACAAATTGAGTGGTTTGCATTTGATCGCTCCCCTATATATATGTGTGTGTGTGTGTGTAAGGTGTTCAAACGAGAACATCTATGTTTTATGAAATTGCGAGAATATTTCTAAACGTCTAAATTAATGAACTCAAAATAAAAGTTAGAATAAATGAAAATAAATCAGTATTTATCAACAATTTTTTGTTATCTTAGATTTGTTTGTATTCCTTAAATGTTGCTAATATCATCAAAGACTTTTTATCTCGATGTCTTCGTTGTCGATAATATTGTGATAATAATGTGATTTTGTTGTAGTAACGCATTGATAAATGCAAGGCTTCTTAGGGTGTGATTTTGTTGTGATAATTGTGTGATTTTGCTGTAATAATGTTGTGATAAATAGAAAACCAGTGATGATCACATCTACAATCATCGACTATGTTTATTCATTATATGATTTGTAGTTCTCTTTTTCATTTTACCTCTGTCTGCCTTCGATATTCCTAAAAGAGTAAAATATTTATTTAATATTTTACTACTCCCTCGATCTTTCTAAAATTGTGAGTTAAAACAGAATGATCGGCATATAAGCGTTATCGCATTTGTGTAAATAACAGGCATTCTTTTTTGAACCCTTTCCATATATATACATATATATATAGTCATATTTCAAGGGAAAACTGCAAAAAAAAAAAAATAAGGAACACCCTGGAAACTATGGTATGCATATGTGCATACAGGTAATTTTAATCAATTTGTCTGGTATGCACATGTACCTAACATGCAAACGTGCATAAAAACCAAGAAACAGTTTTAACTACTAGTATGTACATGTGCATACCATCTAGATGAACAGTTATCAGTGTGTCCCTCAGTTTTTTTTTTTTTTTAGGTTTTCCTCTGAACCTCTCTATATATAGAGAGGGGGGGAGGCGTTCAAACGAACACCTTCATTTTACGAGAATGAGATAACACCATTTTTACTATAGAAAATCACATGTAATATTATATTACATCATGTATAATACAAATGTGATACTAAATCAGAGATGCAAACGACTTTTGGTGCAATTTAGGTTGCGAGTCAATTTGCTCTTACAACACTATAATGGTAACAAAAATCCAAACATTAAAAGCAAAAACACTATAAAAGTTACCTTCATAATGTTTTGCTGTGAAAAAAACGTAAAAAGATGGTTTCACGGATCTTAAAAAAACAACCTGGTCTCAAATGATCCCAAGTGTATACATACATATATATATATACATATATATATATATATATATATATATATATATATATATATATATAGAGAGAGAGAGAGAGAGAGAGGTGGGATCAAATAAAAACCGTCTAATTCTTAAAAACCGTATAAACTAATTTCGACCGATATGAAAATTCCTTTTTTTCCTTAATTAAATTTAATCATGAGATAGGTGGAGTTAGTAGGAATTTTTGGGCCAATATGCACAAAAACCTCATTGCAATTTGCAGTGCGATACCACAAAATATAAATATAGTGCAGTTTGGGAGAATGACCAACCCACATATTTTGTGCAGTTGCAAGTTTGGCTTTGATTTCTACGGCACTATAGACGTAGTGCCTTGTGCAATAGATTTCTACAAATTAGTTCCATTATAAAAAAATTGCTTAATAATGTTACTTTAGTTAATTGATTGTTAATCAATAGATACACCATGGATGCGTTTTGGTCCAGGCCTTCTAAGCCCGTTTTCAATTAGTCAAGAAAAAGACATGGCCCGTTTTAGACACGGGCTTTAGGTTGAAAAAGGCCACAATCTGGCATTTTTAGACATAGGTTGTGCAGGGCTTTATGTTGAAAAAGAGTTTGATCGGGCTTCTTCAAGCTGGCTTTTCTAGAGTCTAGACTGTACCTGTCCCCAAAATTTCGGTCTAAACAGCCTTTGAAGCATGGCCTGGATCATGCTTCAAGCTTATTAGGCTCGGGCTTTTTGGGCCAGGCCGAGGCCAAGTTTCATGCCTGGGCTTTTTGCATCTCTAGAGTCTAGAGGAAATACATGTTAGTAGTCAATATTGGTGCATCAATGTTTGAGGACCTTGATGTTGGGCCTTTGGGGCTCCTCCCATAGGTCACTTGTTCGAGTTCGTTCAAGGCCTCTGAGAATTTTTCTAGTTGTATTCTCAAAACAGCAGATGACACGTAGTTTCATTGCAAATTAACTATTATATACAAAAATGCAAAAAACAAAAATTGAAATGAACAATCAAGAACATCATACTTGTGCTTTCATCTAGAAATGCCATCCAAAATCAATCTTTCCAACATAAGTGCTCTTTTTTTTTTCATTTTAACAAGTATAATAATTAAATTGCAACGGAACCATGACCGTTAAATAACTCGTCCAGACGGAAAACAATTCTTGCATCAGAAGATCCATAAATAAATTTGGGAGATGTTTAAAATCATTTAGCATGACTTATAATACCACCATGTTTTTCAGGCAACACAAAATTGACACATGATATTGATAGGTAAAGAAGATCAAGTATATGACCTCTAACTGCAAACTTTGTTCCAAGTTTCTTTTACATGGTCTCATCTTCGATCGTTGAACTTTTGGTATCTTTAACGTCTCCTGCAACATCCTGCAGCTGTATTTACACAAGTTACAGACGGGTATAAGTTCAGATTTTGTACCTTTAGACCAAGATGTGATAAGGAGAAGGGCAAATTGCATGAAAAATGCAACATCCTTTGATATGAAAACCTTCATTTTGGTACCTCAGATATGATATCTCAAACATTAAAACTGAAGTACATTACATGAAATAGGAATCGAACAAAATTACGTTGTATTTTCATGTCATCAAATGTAAACTAGGTACCTAGATGTTTGAGATGTCATATCTGGTTTACCAAGACATGTTTTTAAAGTATGTTACACAAAATAAAAATTGGACCATATTACGTTGCTTTTTCTTGCAATTTACCCTGAGAAGAAACCAGACACAACTTACCCCCAAGTTCTTTAAACTAACAGTTACGTCATCTTGTTGCTGTTGTAGAGTAGTTCTTAGCTCTTTAAATTCCTAGATCCCATATGCATGATATGAATCAGCATATAAAAGTTGTTAAATCAAGAATTATAGTAGAAGAGAATTGCAAAAGTCCTTACGGATCGAAGCTGATCCACTTCCACATTGAGGGTTTTTTTAAGGTCTGAGAGCTCCTGCAGATTCGATCACAAATTGTAATGGATGATTCATATGTTTGATATCAGAGTATCCACATTAACACAGGTTCTCAACTCATAATCACAAACAACAAAAGAAGGGAGTGCAACATGGGATGTTTAGCTAAATGACCTTCTCAAAAACTGAATTTAAGAATCTAATCCCATAGCGTACTAATATGTTTTTACGACAGCACGTTGTTTTCGACCAGGGACAAGCTGTTTTGAACTATAGGCGTGTCATAAGACAATTGATCAAAAAAAATTAGAAGTTCATTCTCCGAATTGAGAACTCATTTAAGGTAAATTTTCCAAAGGACCCATGGAACAGTGGGCTGTGCAAAAATTCAGGTTATTTAGCTAAATTACCATCTGACAAGTTATTTTCCTTTAAATCCATTACCATCTGACAAGTTTTTAGGCATTCTTGTGTGTGGAAGAGATATTCTTCTGTTAGGCAGAGAATTTTCAGAATCTGCCTCAAGGACATAGATTTAAAAAAAAAACCTGTCAGGAGGTCATTTAGCTAAACCCATGGAAATTCTATCTGGCTCTAAGGACAATAATCGTATGGCATCAGAAAGCAAATGGAAGCATCATCTCCAATAAACAGTGCAACACCTTGATTAACCACTTCCTCTTTCGCTCATTTTATCTTAATCTGTGCAACTCTAGTGTTATCTATGTGGTATCCCTTACTGGGTCCAAATGCAGATGAAGGAAGGAACCATTTGTTTACTACTTTGGTCATTGACTGTAGACGGTCCATAAGTCTTTCTATGCTAGGATACAACCCCTTCCCTCCAATATAACTAATAAGAATACTTCTAAGGGCATCTCCAATGAGTAACACCAAATAAATAAAATTTGGTGTAAACCTTCGGCCAAACAATAAATTGGATAACATCAAATGTAAGATTCTAGGTATATTCCTTTTTATCTTCTCCAACTGATGTAAACTTTGGTGTAAATGAATAGTGTTAAACTTGCACCGTATTTGGTGTGCTACCATTCATCACATCAAATCTGGAGTAAGGTTCAGTGTCCTCATTGGAGCAATTTAGGGTCAAATTTGGTATTTGGTATCCTCATTGGAGCAATTTAGGGTCAATTTTGATATTTGGTGTCCTCATTGGAGATGGTCTAATAGACTACTTGGCACAAAGAAAAGAACATTTCGGAACTAAAAAAAGCAGCTATATCCCAGTTTGGCATCATCAAAATCTAACAAATGATTATTAGAAGTTGCAGAGCTCTTTGTCATATTCAATTTCTTTATTTCCTCAATTTATTCATAGTTCCACATAGGCACATATAGATGCATATATCTTAAGAGGGTAGAGGAGTATCATTCAGATGTTATGATTCATAATTCCGCATATAGCTAATAGCTGCATACATCTTAAGTTGCAATTTCTTAAGCCCATCTTAAATTTGATGAGGGTTTTAGGTCGAGATCTGCTGCAATGTTAGGTCAGTACATGAGCCGCATATCTAGCAGCAAAACAGTCTTGCACTATTTGCCAAAACAACATTCTGGAGCTAACGTTTGCCATCCTAACCACATTCCAACCATCCCCACTGATGGCTTCCACCCTGCATTTTCTATCAACACAACATAATGATTTCTCGGGAAACAACAGCTTCTTTTCATAACATAAACTTGGCTGGTAAAATTTGATACAGTTTATGGGGAAAACCCCCTAAAGTTGCTGCAGTTGATTTACATAGATACCCAATGATGTCTCATCTAAGGTGTTGAGAAGCTTACGATTACTATATGCACTTATTATGAATTTGGAATTAAACAAAAATAAAACTTAGAAGAGAAGATAAAAGCATCAAAACAAAGCCACAAGTGGTTGGCATTTCAAATCATCATAATTTGCTATTTGCCGCAAAGAAACAATTATTCTTGTAATAAATTCAGAAAGAAAAAAAAAAGGACTAGCAAGACTTGAGCAGTTTTTGAACAAGAAAAATGTCAAGTGCAATGGCTAGTTTTTCAATCATATTTTCACATATTGTCCCTAATCCCCCATTTTTGCAAATGGCAGTTTGCAATAAAAATTCAAACTCCAATGGTTCACAAAGGTGAATCACTTAATAAATTATAAACTATGCACAATCCCAGTATAAGAAAAAGAAGCAGGTCTTCAAGACAGTAGGAAAACATAATACCTAAAGATGGAGAAAAATTAGGGAAATCTACATATGACAAGGAATACTTACATCACGGTAGCTCTTAACTTGAGTATCTAACTTTGACCTCCAACTTTGAAGATCCTTCATGTTAAAAACCATAACTAAGTCAATAGCTTGAATATAAAAGGGATAAATCAACAATCAATCTGCAGATAAATAAGTAGACTCGTAAATCTTCACTACTTTCAACAATTCAATAGAACTGTAAGCAATCAAGGTTTTACATTCTTCAAACTTTGAATTCTGTTTAGCAGTTCCGCCCGTGATTCACTCAATTCCTGGAAAATAGGCACATCAATTAGGGTTTTGTCCCTCAACAAAACCAATCAAAAAATGTGCTTCGTCAAACATACCGCAATCTTAGAATTAATTGGGGTCACGTTCTCATTCTTCTGCAAAAACAAAAACTTGTTTAGTCGATTAACAACCATCAAACCCAGATAGAACGGTAGGATTAAAAAAGAGGAAACGTCAAACATACCAAGCCGAGAGGAGAAGCTGTAGGCACTGACGGAGCCAAATCGGTGTTAGCTGCCATCTGAACTCGGTGGATCGAAGTTGATTCGTCTTCGATTTGAATACTTTGGGTTTAGATTGGAGAGAGAGAGAGAGAAGTGAAATTCAAATTTTTTGAGGGTGAAGAAGTGTGAGGGATTTGGGCGGGCCAATTGAATCATGTAATTGTAACCTGCGATTTCGAAGTCAACTTTTGTCGGTCGATTTTCTTCATATTATTGGAACGAAGTTAGTTAGAAAAGTGTAGAAGCTTCTTAAAACCCATATTAATTGAACGTAGTTAATTAGATAGATTTTGTTACTATAATTTTATTTTTTATTAAAATAATGTATTTTTTAATTTGTTTCAAATACAACTCATTACAATCAATACAACCTAATAAATTAAAATATTTATGTAAATAATGAGAGTTCATTTATTATAATTTAAATATTTATGATCAATACTTTATATTAAAAAATAATTAAAATTTTTATGAAATTACATATTCATCAAATTAAATGGACGGTTGAGATTGAATTGTATTAGTTGTATAAATGTAAAGGGTAGTATAATAACTCACCTATATATATATATATATATATATATATATATATATATAGTACGGTACCAATCTAATGGCGACCACCTGCTTTGCAGATAGTCCAGAGTCACCATATTTGAATCTCCGTAGCCACAATGAGATTGTTATTTCTTCTTGGATTTGAACCTGGGACCTCCTGGTACTTTTGACCTTTGGAGTCAAGCTCAAACAATCAGGCACCACCCTTGTGGTTAAAAGTACAATATTATAGTAAAAGAAACTATGAAATCAGGTTATTACTTCTTGCGTTTTGTCCTATGATCTAATCCATAATGTTTAAATCACAGCATCCGTAATTACTTTCAAGATTGAATTGAAAAAATAAGTTCAAATCTTATTTCTTTGTTAGATAAAGATATTATATCAGTCTTCAAATGACTCCATCTTATACAATTACTACTGAAAATAAGTTCAATGGTATATATAATGTAAAGAAAATAAGTCGTATCAGCTTAATTATCGATGGATTGGTAATTTTATTTAACTTCTGAGTTGGAATCACACTTTTTATGACAAGTATATGTTGTATATAAAACAGAACTTTATATGATTTAACAATGGCGATATTTTGAGTGTTACATAACCACCGACAGGTGATGATGCGTTAACGTTGAAACTTATTTTTTACGTTTTAATGTATGATTTAACATGAATAAACGTACATATAACAACCCTTTTTGGATAAAAACGATAGAAGAAGCAAACAAATGTAGTTCATGATTGCAAAGTGAAAATGTAACCCCCAACATGTGATTCGGAGTAGATATGGACAAAACCCGTGAACCCGTCTCATGAGCGATGGAAATGTAACTAATTAAACCATAATTGGTACTGGTTGTAACCGGTTGTCATGTAAAAATAAAGCAACAAGCAGTAATTGGTTGAGTTAAACAATTCCTTTTATAGATATAACGACTCAGAATTGTATAATCATATATTTAGTTTCTTGAATAAAAAAAAATAGAGTAGATTACAAATTTGAAATTCCGCCCTTGTGATTATGTGAAATTGAACAGATTGGATCCTACAAATGAAATAATTCCAATTACGGTCATTATGGTTTCACCTTTGTTATGGATTGGGTCCGTCAGACTAAGGGGCTGTTTGCTTGCTTTTTCATCAAATTTTGTATGGATTAATCTATCTGTATAAATTAGAAAGAGTTTTGTTTAAGATGGTTTTTATAGATGGAATGTTCGTGTTTTTTAATTGGGAATGGCAAGTTTGGAAAAAAAAAACTTGACTTTCTGCATGAATATATAGCTAGCCGAATAAGTCATTGGCCTTGTTAAGCTCATTAAGCTATTAACAAACAAACCATAACTCCGTTAACCGTGACCGTTAAACCCATCACGTGTCCTAGATTGTGTGCGCCATCGATGAACCCATATATGGCGTCTTTGTGTGTGTGCCATTGATGAACCCAAATGAATAAATCACAAGCATTCCCACTAGTCCACTAATGTTTCTTCACAACTGCTTTTATGGTTCATAACTGAATTGGTTTCAACCGAAAACTCTTTAAGCTATAGTTTGCAAAAAGAAAAAGAAAAAAAGAACTTGAGATGGATTGACCCAAAAAGTCGATCAACGTACAGATTAAAAAAATAGAGATCGGTTAAATTCTGTCGTTTTCCTCCCCACAATCGCACGACAAAGAGAAACTTTTTGCCGATTTGGAATTTCACACTTTAGTTATGCCGTGTGAAAAATCAAACGACAAACCACGGGACTCACTATTTTTACTGCTTAGCGTATGGTTTGGATTTGAATTAGTGTTAGAAAACCCATTATTTTTGGTGTTCTTTAGGCGTCATGATTGAAGATGCTCTTAGAGGACGACAATGAGGGTGCCAAAATGAGTTTATTTATTTATTTTTTTGTGTTTTTTAGGTGGACACTTGTACATTTTATTTAGAAACTTGCACATTAAAAATGTTTTCTAAGACAAAAATGCCCTCATGCGAGGGCCAAGTGATGAGTAATTTAACAGAGATTCGTTAAAGAAGTTAGGTCAAAAGAGACCAATGCGTAACAAAAATAAAACTACAGCGACCGTAGTTGTAATCATATCGTCTAGACACTATCAATTATTTATGTACAACCATAGCGACCAAATTTATAATTTGTAATTAATGAAAACAATTGTTTTCAAAAATAGCTGAAATCATTGGTTTGAAATGTTAGTTTTTTTAAGAGCATTTTTAATAGACTAGTAATATACCAGCTACAAAAGATAGGATGAGCCTGTTTTAATTAAGACGTGGGCACATGAAAAAGAAAGATCATAATTGAGTTGTTAACAATCTCACCCATAACGAATATGCTGGTGGGTTGTAGTATCTTTGTATTTTTTGACCGGATTAAAGTCAATGACATAAACCCACATGAGAGCAGAAAGGAAATTACAAGGTTATCATAACGAAGGTTCCAAATTGGTAGCAAAAATGCATGATCGACATCTGCCACCTGATTTGTACGTTGTTCCAAACCCATAAGAAAACAGTATGGCTTGATTATCATGGTGTAGAAATGATTTAGAATGAACAAATTCAATAAGGTTGATCTGAAAAGGAGTATCATGATCTGTCAAGATGGATGTTAAGAGCTAAAACAGTAAAGGAAAAAAAAATCGGTAACTGAATAACCATTAGACGTTTTTGAGACGTTCTTCATACATAAAAAAGCCTTTTTATTCCATTCATTTTAAAGATAGATTTAAAAAAAAAAATATTAAAATATAAAATAGATTCAAAATCTTGAATTTTAGATATGATATAAAAACAAGGTGGTGTCTGATTGATTTGAGCTTGACTCCAAAAGTCAAAAGTATTAGGAGGTTGCAAGTTCAAATCCAAGAAGGAATAAAAATAACTTTTGTGGCTACGGAGGTTAAAATGCGGTGACTTCAAACTATCTGCAAACCAGGTGGTCCTCCTGAGATTAATCGGCTGACATAACGAATTGGATATCCAGGCTAATAAGAAAAACAGTATCATGTATTAATTTGAATCAAAATAATAATTACAACGAATGTAGAAAATACATACAAGCTATAAAGTCCCCATATCAGGCAAGTACTATCAAAAACCGCCGCAGCCGCCGCCACAGCCACCGGAGGCATCCGAGATCATATCGCCGATCAACAAACCACCAAGAGCTCCGCCTAACAACCCCGCTCCCAACCCCATACCCATTTTGCTCTTCTTTGGAGGCTGTTGTGGCTGCTGAACGGGTGGATACCCGTATCCCTGCTGTGGCGGGTAACCACCGTACCCCGGCGGTGGTGGCGGAGGATAAGCAGCATGACCCGGTTGCTGCTGGTGCTGGTACGCGTATCCAGTCTGTGACTGAGGAGGATATCCATTAGCAGGTGGAGGGTAATACCCACCTGCCGCCGCGTACGCCGGTGGATAGCTGGAGCTGGTTCCAACAGCCATCCCGGCAGGATAAGCCGTCACGGGCTCCTCCGCCGCCTTCCCGGAGAAATTTTCCCCAAATTTATAAGAAAAACTCAGATCCCCCTTTGGCTTCCCCGAAGGCCTTCTCACTTGATAACTGACAAACTTCATCTCCCTCCCTTCAGCTTTCACGCCTTCCAGAAGTTCCTTGATCGGCACATGGACTTCTCCGACATCCTTATCGCCGAACATCCCTACCGCCTTGATCTCGATGACGAGCGTCAGACGGTTCTGTAATCCGGCGGCTTCATCGACAGTAAATTTCATGGGGATATTCCATGTGGGATCAGAACCTCCGTCCTTATCAACAGGGGTTTTGTACTTTTGAACGTTGCCGGCGGTGCCGAAGATGGAAGCGACGGCGTAGACATCCATTTTTCCGATGAGACTGGCTTTTTTGAGTCCTTTTGCAGAGACGATTGTGAGGTCTAAAGTTCTGTAATCCATGGTTGATTGATAATGTAAGAATTATGGTTGAGATTGAGATTATATAGGAATTCTGTTAACCGACCCTACAGGAATATAGATAGATAGATAGATATATACATATACGTGATAGATTCTTGGAAACAGCGAGGAAGATGACGGCATGGGTGATCTTAGCAATTAAGAAAAAAGAACCGTTGAACCGGGCGGTTGAGCCCCACAATAAACGGGTCAACTGTAGAATCAAGTTGCCATAGATTTTGGAAACCGAGTTGAATCCGTGTGGGTTTGGAATTAACCATGGTTGAGTTAGCTGTTGACTTATATCTCTAACTTACGTTTTTCTCTTTTTCATAACGGTCGTATTTAACCGGATCAGCTTTCACAAACAGAACATCTATTTGAGTTTAAATGTTAAGTTTGTTTGTTTATTTTTTAATAGTTTTATTAAAAGGTAATATCTAAATTGTTAATAGGTGAATTTTGTTGGATAAGAAAAAAAAAATCTATCTTTTAATGGTTATAAAACCCTCTGAATGATTTTGTATCCTGCATTTTTCTTAACCATTAAGAGTCTTAATTTCATTGTACACAATTACCAAACAATTATATTTCATTTTACACCATATCATGAAAGTCTCTTAATTATTCTGACCATTTAATCATCATGTATTAAAGCATTCAACAATTGTCAAATAGCCACTTAAGTTTAACATTAACAAATCGGAGATAAGGATAAAACCAAATGAGGAATATATATATATATATATATATATATATATAATATAAATATATGAAAATGATTTAATAATTTTTCCCGTTAAATAATAAAATGTAATATATTGATTAACATATATTTATTTTATAGCATAATAATTCACTATGTAAATATTATTATTGGTCTACCATGAGTCTTTTTATATATATTTTCGTTTCAATTAGTGAACAAAAAAAAATTCATATGTATTTAATAAGATGGACACAAACATATATGAAACAATATAACAAATCATATTTTTGATGAAAAAAATCATGCAAAAAATTATTTTTATTAATGTTGGACTTGGTATGCTATCAGGGTTTTTTCCTCAAATATCGTGTACCAACCAATTATAATCGGTATGCAAAATCTTATATTTTGTACCAAACAACTGTATGTGATATCGTCTTTTTTTGACCGGCACATATGTTGATAGTGATTGTGTATCAATTTCAAATTATATATATTTAATATCATCAATTTGTTTAAATGTTGAGTGACATTTTGGGTTTTTGGTTTGAACTATGATATTTGAGGCTATTTAATTCCAAAGAATAAGACTTGCAAAGAAGTTTGAACAAAATATAAAGTTCCCAAAAAATACAGAAAATAATAAATAATTGAATAAGTAGGTGTCATGGTACTAACAACTATCGCAACTAAAACGACGCCAACTGGTTACCTACGCTTTCGCGTCTCTCAGTGTGGTCAATGCTGGGTGTTTCCAAGCAGCGAGGCTTACACGACAACTTTATTAGTACATCTAATCGTAGCAATTACCTGGCTCCAATTTATATTCTACTTATTGATTCCGGCACAGAAAAGTGACAGACCATAGCCCTATTAATGAGATGAATTATTCTACGTTGGAAATCGATAGGAATTCCTCGTAAACTTGCCCTAGAGAAAGTCACCAACAACATAAGGCCCCCGCAAGTTTGGCATGTGAAGTGCCCTTGTGTTCTTTTCTTGTGGGAGATGAAGCCAAATCCTTTCCCTTTAAGGATCTAACGGCCACCTTTCTTGCCCAGTCTCGAGATCTTTCTCTCCAGGTACGATTCACCATATTTAAGTGAGTGCTCTACCCTTGGTATGGTACCAAAAGCCCTTGGTATTGGTAGATGACAACATAGAGAACTTTGTTACCCCCTTGTCACTTAAATGTTCCTTCGTATATTTATGAATTTCATCCCTACACACGAAATTTCACTCTCCAGGGAAGAAGCGGTCCAGTTTAATAGATTCAATGGTCGATGTGTTTGAATCAAAGAGGAAGAGCCCACTTAAATATGCTAAATCATAAATGCAAGCGACCATTGGCGGTCACAGGCTAATCGCCCGCACACCATCCAGGTCCCCTCATTTATAGTCACATGTAACAAAAAATTTCTCGTATTTTTGTAAAATGAAAGTATTTTTCGATTAAACCTCCACCTATGATATATATATACACACACACACACACACATAGAGAGAGAGAGAAGTAGGTTCATACGAGAATGATACAATATTTAAGGAAATAAAAGAATGATAATCACATGTGATTTCTATGACCGCGTGGCAAGGTCGCATGAATCATATGTGATTTTATACGTGATATTAATGTAAAATCACATGTAATTCAGTCATTCTCTTACTTTCTTAAATTCGAACCATTCTAAAGATCAAGTAGCTTAGTTTCCTGCCTACGGCTTAACTGAATCTCCCTTCTTTAACCACAATAGTCTCCGATTTAGAACCTTAAACCCGAATCGAATACAAAAACTTTCCCTTCATAACCATAACTGGATTCTGTTTTATACTAAATATATGAATATATCTGCAAATTCAAATGAACCACCAATGATGAATTGATGATTAAACTAAAAATCACCATAATACGTCCAACTATAAGTTGAAGGGAGAAAAAGAAGCTTCCAGAATCAGAAATTTAGGCACTTGAGTTAGAATTTCACATGTACAGGATGACGATGCTAGGTTGGCACGAGCGCTAAAATTTGGTTCTTAATTATCCCCATGCATTTCTGTATTTCAGCATAAACCTGCAGGTTCTGGGGGGAGCAAGGTTGTAAACTAGAGACCGCAGAATCCAATATACTCGCAACTTCAGCCGGTGGAAACTGTCTTTCTGTACATTTCTGCAAATTCCCGTTCATAAACCGCAAGTCAGATACCAACCAAATCAAACGAACCCAGTGAATCTCATGCATGGGGTATGGGACCGTTAGATACCAATCAAACCATGCATTGGGGGGGGGGGGGATATCAAAATGCAACAAAGGTTGTCTTGGTTCCTATTTAGTGCAAGTGTGTAACAAAGAACTTTTTTTCTCAATCAATGTAACGAAGTTTCAATATTTTTTCCTATTTAATGTAACAAAGTTCCGATATGAAAAAAAATCAATGTTTCAAGAATTTCCTATTTAATGTAAGATTTGGTGACGTAACGTAGCTCTTTTGTGAACATTTCATAAACCTTCCATCAACAGAGTTAACGTCATCAAATGTTACAAAATCAATAGCCAGTCAAAATGGGTACTAGAAAATTTATAACATTGTTACATTGGATATTTGCATGAGAAAAATCGTACACTAAACAGGTTGCATTTAGATGCATTTTGCCCTTTTGGGGGAAAGGTGGATTACAACCGATTTTTACCTGAATGACGAACAGAGTAGCCACACAGTGAGTTATCAGTTCAGAGGGGATTGATGCTTTATTTGAATCTGATGGATTCATTGGCGTAGAATCAGATGCCTTTACGGTGGAAACCAGTTGTTCATGCAATGACAAACTAGGAGGAACTGGATCAGATGCAATTGGTCTGGCAGGTGGAATGCCGGATTCATCCGATGGAATTCGATCGCTTACGTAATCAACAGCCTTGTCAATCTCAACCGTAGGATTGAGCTTCAACGATGACATTGCCTAAATTGTTATCCATTAAAAGTAATCATTAGAATCATTCCCTTGTGATATAGGATGTAAAATCACAAAATCTGACAGAATCAATTTGTCTTCTCCGGGTGCGTTTAGTACGCAAACAGGACAGGAGGACTGGATGGGTGAGAGTGAGGCAGGCAGGTGAAAGAATTCTGAAGGTTTTAGGGTTTTAATTTGACATGGTAAGTTTAGTAATTTACCAATCTTGTCGCATCTCCCTAGTTTTTGTTCCTCCTATTTTGATGAAACCAAAAAAATGCATTTTTGTTCCACTTAGGGTCTGTTCATTTGCAGCTTTATGGAGCTCACAGCTTATTCGGTCAGTTATACATGACCAATTGGTAGTGGCTTAATGATATAGAAAGTGGCTTATTCAGTAAGCTTCTAGGGAGCTTTATGCAGAAAGCCAAGTTTTTTCCCAAACATGTCCCTTCCAATTAAAAACACGCTTCTTTCATCTATGAAAAATCCCTCCCAAACAAAAATCTTTCCCATCTTATACAGACAGCTTAATCCACACGAACAACTTTATCCATTCAAGACTTAATGGAATACCAACCAAACAGCCCCTTAGTCTTATCCTGTCCCGGTCTAATGTTGCACCAAACGTGGGACAAGTTTTTATTCTCTCATGTTCCATGTACCATACGTACCCTTACTATTCAGTATCCACATTATAATATTTTGTAAAAGGAGATTTCCCAAAATGACGTATGGTGGTAGGAAAAAGGGACATGGTGTGCATCGATAAAGGTGTTTCTGACCTGTATAGCAATGTCTACCATTGTACGAGCCCTGGTTCTTGACATCTCAACGATCTCATTGACATGACATTCCGACTCTTCCGTGCGATTTGTAGTGTGATCAGAGGAGCTTGAGATGGCACCATGGTCACTTAAATCACCCACTGCCCTTGGCCAGCTGGCAAGGTGAAGGTTGCGCTGATATGTGTTGCGTTGCCTCAATCGATATAAAGCAGAAGAAACCTGCAACAAAAGCAAACCCATTTTAGCACTTGTTAAATGAGCAGCAAACAAAAAAAAATATAGGTGAAAACAATGCTACTCTTGCCTGAGCATTGGCTTCATTTAATTGCACAAGAACAGCTGCATATTGTTTTTTGAAAGCATCTGAATCCTGAAGAGAAAAGTCACCATCTGTTTGGTTTTCCAACACATCATCGTTCATTCGCCTCAACTCGAAAACTACAGCCTCCTGTAGATTCAACATAGTTCAATAAATATCTGATTAGAAGTACGAGGTTTTTATGTCATCTCACTTCAAAGTATATACAACCGCCATGAAGAAAATGAGAATGGGGGTCAAAATATATTTACAAAGCCAGATACACGATTATATGCTTACGTGAACAAACTTTTAACTTGTATCTCCTTTCACATTTCCATATGAACCATGTGGTATTCTAAAAGTTCTACATAAATGTCCCACAACTACATAAATCATATGAATACCAAGATACAGAAATGTATTGAAATATCCTATGTCTTGTTACAAGATAGAATTATGTTAGGTTTACAGGTGCTAGATACTTTAAGAGTTACCTTCCTATAATCTCATTAGTAGGTATCACAACATGACGGGTTTTGGCGAGGGTGAGACCGTGTGGCAGGTAGAGGGCGTCAAATGGGTGCATGGTGAATATGTGGGAGATTTCTTGAACCCAATTCAATTCAGAATATAGCTCAAAATCACATGTTAACAATTCAATTAATTTAAAAGGGGCTGTGGTCAGGAAGGGAACAGGGTGAGGTAAGCAAGTATTGGGGAGATATGGAATAATAGTAGGGGGTAAATATGGGAGTGTCGACCCCCACGCCATATCAGCCTCATTCCTATTCCTAATAATTAGAGTTTGGTTTCCCTCCAAGTCTCCTTGTATCTGGTTTAGTGGTTTGTTACTCTTTATATGGTCAATTATGAATTTATTCAAAATTTGTGTTAATTATATGTAATGTATTCAGTTGCTTTCAGTTCAACCGAAATAGTCAAAATATACAAATAATAGTATAATGTGCTTGGTCTAACTGAAATAGTAAAAAAAGTTTAACTGAAAACACAACCGAATAAGTTATCTTTATTGGGCTAACCAAACTGTTTAATTCAAAAACCGAATAACCCGAAACCATCTTGGTTCAGATGAGTTATCGGTTTCAGAATTTTTGGACACTTGTAATTGTGCCCCCAATGATAAAAGTTTCTGGATCTGCCACTGTACATCAGTGTGGTGTCTCCTCGATGTAGAACTAAAGAGCGTACCAAACTATTAATGATGTGTAATAGAGATGGGCACGGAGCGGTCCTAAAAGTCCGGTCTGGCCAACAATCTGGTCAAAGTGGTCCAGAAAAACCCAGTCCAGACAGGTCCTTTTGCCATCTCTAATTGTGTAAGTTCATTAAAGATGAAGAATCTAACTGGAAGGACCTTTTTGTCAAGAGCACGGGTCAGCTCAGCAATTGCTTCAACATCAAGTTCCTTTGCCTGAATCTGTGCCAGTGTACCAGGCATGGTGTATGCTGCATGATGGTTTGAGGCGAAGTCTCTTGGTCCATATCTTGATTGTAAATCAGATTTAACTGAAGCAACCTACTCCAACAGACAAGAAAAGGTAATCAACATACATGATGTTTTAACCAGTATTCTAAGTACTCCAGTTGGATATAAGAGTGAATCAGTAAGAAGATAAAAATGCTAATTTACTTCTAGTAAATCATGGTAATTGGTCAGGAAAGTAAAACTCTACTTTGAAGTGAGTTTAGGGCTTCAATAATATATATACATACATCATCCATATAGAGGAGTTCAGTTGCGAATATGTTTTCTGTTGCGAACCGGGAGGAAACGAGAGTGTGACACGTGTACCAGTCATCATGAATAATGGATGTGAATTTTTTACAACGTTCATGATGAATGTTAAACCATTCATGATTATTGTTATACCATGTATGAGGAATATTCCGTGAATGTCCGGACACGTGGCACTATCTCATTTCCCCCCCGGTTCGCAATGGAAGTCTGGTTGGCAGCCAAACTTTCCCCTATATATAGGGGGCTAATCATATGAGAACCTACAGAATCGTGAGAACCATGAGGATTGGTGCATCATGTGTAATTTCACATATAAATTTTTCATCTAAGGCTAAGATTTAAAGTATTGATTAACATATATTTGTTTCACATATACTTGGTTCACAATGTGAAACCTTTTTACGTGTTTGTGATACAAGGACATGTAAAACAAACACATTGTGAAACAAATATATGTTAGTCACTACCTTAAGTTCTAGCATTAGATGAAAAAAGATCATGTGAAAGAGCACCTTAAAGTACAAGTTCTCACGGTTATCACAAGATTTGAGGTTCTCATTTATGCCCCTACATAATATATATATATATATATATATATATATATATATAAGAACAAAATTCTAGAATATCTAATAGCAGATCATTCAAGATATTAGTAGTACCTACTTCTAATCTGTACTAGAATGCACAAATATGTGATTTACTTCTTTCCAGAAGCATGCTAGTTTTACTTTTTACCATGAGGAATCCCCAACAAACCGCATCCAATGAAAATAATGTAATGAGACACAATTAAGAACTAAATTTTGTTAGGAGAGAAATATTGTTATAAGAAAAAACAACTTCAGAGTTTTCTCCTGAACATTATCTTAAGATCCATATCCAGCTTTCATAAACTAAATCATGCCGAACTTTAGTTGGTTGGCCTTTGAACAAAATTCCATGAATTTGGTAACAACTGTTAAGCAAAATATACTGCAAGTAAGCCAGTTCTGGGCTCAAGAAAACACAGATAATGAAACAAACACTGACCAACTGAATTGAATGTCATTAATGAGATAAGTTGAGGGTAGCAAATAGGGCACCTCGTCCATGTTCTCTAGCTTTTCATGAGAAGAGCACTTTGTGTAACCTTCCAGTCTCTGATCTCTTCCCAGCCCATTCATTTGGGCCTCCTTTAAGCTTTCAAAGAATTTGTCAACAGGTGTTCGCCGCATCAGCGATGCAGGCATATTCTCGAAAGGATTTAAGGGCATGCAATCAGTATCCTGCGACAAAAAATAAATTCATGCCACACAAGGTTACATTGGGGATGGAGAAAAACCATATACATTATACAATATTAATTATAAAATGTACTTAGCATAAAGAAAGACACGAAAGGTCCTAATATCATCAACATCAGGAAGCAAAATTGTAAAAACAATTGCAAGGAATATTACTATGAATATCAGAGAAAGTCTTATCCCACTATGAGCATTCTATAATGGCCAAAATTAGAAGCACAGTTGACCAAGTGACCAAAGGTACGGGAATCCATGAAGTTGATGAAGTAGCAACTGATGCAAAGAAGGCAATAGGAAAGCCAGAGTTGTGCTATTAATTCTTGAGGCACTGTGTTACATAATTAAAGCAGCTCGTTTCATGTAATGGTATAATTATTTAATGGAAGCCCTCGCATAGATAAAGATAGCCATCTATTCCAACCCCTTTTGAAGCATTCATTTCTCACAAGAAATAAATTATGCTGGTACAATCAGCCTAGATTTGTAGCTGCAAAATCATACTGCTGCTCAATGGCTCTTTAATAGCAATTGTTTGTTTCCTATCCAGGAAAATTTTGCCACAGACGATTAAAATATGAATTTAATTCAGGCAGCACATCCAGGGTTCATATCTCCTTAGTTAATACTCTGTCCCCGAAAGAAAAGCGTTCAGCTTGGCACATATTTAACAAGTCTTTGGACTAATGGCAAAATACCTAATACCCCTTAATAAAAAAAGGATTAAATTTAATCATTGGACCACAATTAATGTCATCAATATCTTGTAATGATCGAATAGGTAAATTTGGAAAGGAATCTTTCCAGAAAAAGAAAGGTTGCAACTTGCAACGTTTTTGGACAGCCCAAAATAGAAAGTGTTGTATTCTTGTTTCGGACAACCATTGTGGATATATTTTCAGAATCAAGGTAATAAAAGGAATGCAAAAGCATCATGACAGATCTGGAGCATCATATCAAGATCCTATAAATCTGGCAGAATAAATCAGCCCCTTGATAGAAGAAATTTAAACAGAATCAATTCCAAAAGCAACAGATATTTCAGCAGTTCATTATATAACAAAAAAAGTACGAAATATACAAAAAAGGATGCAGTATTTACCATGATTTTTTCAACGCCTAGCTCAGGTCGATCAAATTGAACACAGCACCTGTTATTATCTACCGTCAGTACAGTTCCATCATGAATCTCTCTTGTTCTCGGATAGATGGCTATGACACATTGCCCAACTGATAATGGCCTTGCAAGATCTGTTGGTAATCCATCCCTGCTACCAGAACGAAGTTCAGTATAATGTGTCCTGACAGAATCCCGATATTGATTAAGCTTGTCCTTTTCTTCCTTTAAAAATTGACGTGAAAACCTTCGTGGTTTACCAAGAGAACTGCATCAACAATGATAAGCAAAATGAAGCAACAGTAATACGCATTTATATTTTCAGGTTCATGGAAGCCAAGAACAAAATAATCAAAATGCCAAGTACTCAAATACCTTCTAATGACACCCCATTCAACACGGGTTAATCTTGGAACATGACCTAAACCAACATGATACAAGTACTCAACAAACTCCCTTTTGGCAAACCAAGGGTCATCTATTGCACTGTAGAACCATTCAAATGCACACCATCTCCGCATGAGTTGATTTGATAGGGAATTAGATAGTTTTCCCTGCAAATAGAATAGCACACAAACAACACAACATGGTCAAAAATTCTATAAAAATTTGAGTTGATATAGAGACGTGAAATGCCAAATAAACACCTTAAGCTTGTCTGTTCTGTGACTGAGAGAAGGCAAGTGTACACTCGACTTGTCTGTTCCAACTACATCAGAAAACTTAGCAGCTTCAAGAGCCTCTGGTTTGTTCATCTTACGCTTGCTCCTGACTTTGGTACGTATGTTAGATGGGTTCATTTCAGAAACATGCACATCTGACAGAGCAGAATTGCGTACATCCCTTTTTGAGTGATTAGTAGAACAGACATGCTGAGAATGTTTGACCAACTGGGGAGAAGAACTTTGAGAAATATGTTTATTCAGAGGCATTTGCGCTGCATGGGTAGCCTATAATACAATAAACAGTAGCTATTTATCATTTTTGTCAAGTAAATGTTAGCATTAAGTTACATGTAAATAACCATTACACGGCGTAGATTGGTGAGACACTGAAACATAAAGAGTTTAAGCAACTAAGGGAAGAGCAAAGGGAGATACGAACCGTTACCAGAAAACAGTACCAGTCAGATATGAAACGTTTTTCAACAGAATAGTGAATTGTTTAACGAGAATATTTTGAACGTGAGATGGAAAATCACGATCTTCCCAGCAAAGAGGTAAAACTCAAACTTACAAACGAGTCAAGAAGGAAGATAAGGGATAAGGTACAAGGAAACAAAGGAAAGAAAATGATTACAATTTCTTTATCTTCCAAGTGACACAGAGAAGGATGATAACTTCTTCCTCAGTGGTTAGTTGATTGCTTTTATGGTCTGTATTTCCCCCTTCCTCCCTCTACCTCTCTCTATCTTACATTGTGCATGCATCAACAAGTTATATATCAGCACGGCACACTTATGAGCATATAAATATTATATGTAGCGGAAGAGGGGTGGTATGGGGTGCATTAGCAGGAGATGGGCCCCACATCATATAGATATTAAATATCAATTAATTCTCAAACATATTTAATTCGGAGTTACTTCACTCATTAACATTGGCTACAATTTGAAACAAAAGCATGTGATAAATTTCCACATGGGTGTTAGACACACATGTACATATTCACAAGCCCACTCAAGATGATATTGATCAACAGTAGTTAACAGTATTCGCCTTTAGTCAAAGAAGCATACTTACAGGTTTGATGATTGAAGTGTGGCATAATGGACTTTCTTATGCATATAAACATTGATTAGTATAAGCACATGGCGCACAGTCAAAACAGAAAAGAGATCAAAAAAACGTCAAATATGATGGGAACACAAAGAGAACCGAACAAAACACCAAGGAGGAGCAGATCAAAAGTAGGTTAAACAAAGAAGGGTAGATTGAAGAATCGAATACTGAATTAGAGAAACGACGAGTAGATTGAAAAATATAAGAAACAAATGAACATAAACGGTATTTTTGCCATGATGAAACTCTCGCTATGCCCGACAGACACCCAAATACAATCCAACAAGTTTTCCATATTTTCTGGTCAAACAAACACGAATATGATGTTCGTCATAACCCTAACAGTATTGAGAAGTAGCTATTCAGCAGGTCATAACCACGCCCATGCTTCTGATATTTTTGTGAATCTAATTTAGTTCTCCAATCAAAATAAATCACTTTGGAACTCTGCAGTATCAACCCTAAAATACTATGAGCTCATAGTAAAATATCAAATTGGTTTCATCATCACAGCAAGAAGACCATCAGGAACCAGAACCACAACTTAACAAACCAACTTTATCACAAAAGAACAAGGTATCAAGTTACATAAATATGGCATGAAAAGTTCCACACACAGCAGGAGTCAATAGTTACAAAAAATAAAAAAGAAGAATCTGAAATTGTGTGTCTCAGAGTAAAAGAAGATGAATAAGCCTACCTCCGCCTCCAAAGATTCTATGGGAGTACTATCAATAGGGGCTTCAGCTTTTGAAATCTGAAATTAGTGTGCCATAAATATCACTAAGATATCATGCAGAGCATTAATAATAGAAACTAAGACGGAGACAAGTAAAAGGTTATGCCCAAGCTTACTTTAGGAGCCACAATCTTCTGTCTCTTTCTAGACACCTTAGTAATTAACTGATGGGACTCCTTTGCTTCTGAAGCGACATTGGTGTCATCAACCAAGTCTTTAGCGGATGTCTGAGGTTTGTTATCAGCAGATTCTAGTCTAGAAATCGACTGATACCCATTACTGCTAAGAGCTAAAGACTTGCGCTTCTCTTTATGGCGGCTTGCAGGCATAGGTAGCAGTAAATGAGAGTCATCAACGTGTTCAACTTTTCCTTCTTTGGCTGGTATGACATCCCGAGAGGCAATAGGCAAATAAAAAAACAATATAATCAACGGAATTATAAGTTGCAACAATTGAGATCAAAATCAGCAAAGTCTTCTTATTTGACTATAATTTTGAGACCAACTCAATCATGTCTATTAAGGAACAGAAGGAAGAATCTTGACCAAATTTCTTTCTATTGTGAACCATTGACAATTGCTAAACGCTTGACCATTCTTGGAATTTTACTTTTTTTTGGTTCATACTAAAAAATATCTGATTAAACATATCTCGATTCATGCTAATTTACCTAGACGGCTAGAAGTTAGAATAGAGTAACTTTAGCCATTATGATATATTCTAGCAACTGTTTGTTCTTGATGAACTAGCTAACAGCAGCTAACACTGGAGTCCTTTTGGAAAATTCTCACTATGATGTCATGCTAGCTTCACATACTCTAGGAAGGGAGGTAGGAGCTAATGCTTTTGCCATATCTTTAACCATCAAGCGTACAACTTCTCACACAGCTTAATAAAGGTGGTGGGTCATTATTACTTAATGAACTCAATGAATTGGCTTTTTCTGGTGGTTGTGGACTCACCCCCACCCGAGTGCTTTTATCTTGCGTTTTAGTGTTTTTTTGCTTGATCTGGAGGGGTCTCCCCCCTCCTTATCAAAAAAAAAAAAAACATAATGCAAATTGTGTTAATTGCAATAATGCAAGTCGGAGGACTTGATATCTCAAACCTGTGATCTTGCAAAATGTAGCATTAAATACTGTATTATTCATTTACTTTCCCAAAGGCCTTCAAAAAATAAGCTCAACTGTATCAAGCTCCAAACCCTGGGTGCCAAACCTCAGGCTTCCCACCAAGAAAAGAGAATTATCTGTGGTTGACTGGTTGGAGCACCAAGATCTCCAATTCTAAGTGGATCTCAGAAACAACTAAACATATCTTACATCAAAAAGATCATGACTAGTTTGTGATCCCCTGGCTCAACCCAATCTTAAGAAGCAATTGTTGATTTATAATATCTAACAAGGAATTAATATACAAGGAGAGATGCAACTTGACCAAAAACTAAAGCCTTTTCCATGATACATGAGTCTAAGGACATATAGAAATCTTCAGTGTAGGAGTTGTAAGCTGTCAATTTTAATAGATCTCAGAATTTAGTTTGTCTCAGAGACCTGTACATGATTTTAACATGTTGCTGGTAATGAGCAATAAGGAGGGAGGCATCAGACAAGTAAACCTCTGACAGAACACTACTAGATACACTAATACTTACCAGCTTCATTTGCCTCGGGTAAAATCATCAAAGACAAATTTGCCAAAGTTTCGAGCGCATCGAAGGCAGAAGTTTCATCTGCACGGAAGGAATCAAGATAGTTAATCGCTGTAAATCATCAAATCATAGTCAAAAAGTAAGGGCTGTTGTCTTACAACGCGAGCAAGCAAATTATATATAAATTCATATGATTCATCACACTGACTACAATATGATATTTTAGATATACACAAGTCATTTACTAGAAACGATGTCAATGTGAATGTAATTACATAGACTGTTTTAGGCCTTTTTTTCTATCTTATAGCAAAGATAAAACAAAAGAATCTTCCTCATTTTGAACAACTGGCTAAAAATACCGTTACAAGTTAAATATGACTTTATCTTGTTTCCCTGCTTGGCAAACTTTTATTATGAACGAGTTTCTAGTTCACTCTAATCAAGGTAGGACAAGCAGATTTGGGAACTCACACATGCTGAAGTCTTGATGAACAGGCCAACCCTCATAGTCTCAAAACTCTCTGATTTAAAAAGTTAACGCCTTAGTGTTTGAAGTACCAGTTACTTCTTTTCACAGTTATAAGAAGATAGCAGCATATGTAAACCTGCCCTCATTTTGTCAGTAGGTTTTTTCTACCTACAATCAAATCAAAATCCTATTCTACTGAGCATTTTTATCAACACCTGAATGCATCCATAGCTTCTCCAAAGTTCATATAATACTGTGCCCCCAAAAACAAATTTGTAAAACCTTATTGCACCGGCTAATCATAAATGGCAATTACAAGCATGCAGATAAGAGAGAGAAAGATGACTATAATATCTAGACGTTATAAAAATGTATATAAGTATACAAAGGAAGTTATATTCCAAAAAATAACAAGGGTGTCATATCATGATTGGTTTTGTTGTTTCCCACCTCCTAAAGTCAAACAGTGTGATATACAGCATAGCAAAGATGAACTGTTTTGTTAATGTGATATCCCAATGAATCCTTTCCAAGAGTATCACATCAAATTAAGAGAGTAATCAGAACTTGATCATGAGACACAGTCATTGCTTTATCAGTAAAATTCTTAAGATGCAAAGAGGAAAAGAAAGGTGAAGGAAAAAAAAGGTGAAGAAAATGCATGGATCTCGGCTTGATCATGATGCCACTGTAGGACTGAATTGAGAAAAACTGGCATACACGTCTGGTTGCAGTACCACACATGGGACTCATAGGTGAGGGTGTGAAAGCGATATAAGGCTTGAACCCCCAACCACAAAAACACACAAAAACAAAGAGCCACACATGCAAACAACTTCCTCATATAAGACTTGAACCCCCAACCACAAGGTTAAGTGAGTAGTGTTAACACCACTGAGCCAAAGTGCACTTGAAGAAGTCTGACTGACCAAGATCTGGAGTCAGCTATAACTAAAATCAAAATGGTTAGGAAGTTGGCCCACTTCCAAGTGCAGCATGTCATTTTAATTGGAGCAGGTATTAGTTTACAAAACCCACTTATTATATGAATAGATGAACACCTCTAGATCTAATTGAGCACAAATTAGATATCTAAGTGTTTGGTAAAAATCATCATAATCCATTACTTAGGTTATGCTCCTACATCATCCTAGCAAAACTAATATAATGAGATCCAAGGAATCATAAAGAAGGTGAGAAGGAAAGTAAGCAGAGTAAGCAAAGATGAATTTGTCAGAAGGAAAAGTATGTCTAAAATTAACAGATCCTTAATCATGTCATATTTTATGAAAAAGGAGTATCGAATTGACAAATTTAAGTGAGCTACTCTCCAAATGAAAAGTAACATGTGGATTTAACATACAAAATGGTGATAACTTTGCATTATGTGAATGATAATATGTTTCTTAAATTAACAGAATTCTATCAAACTATTAGAATATAATAAGAGCTTTGTAAATTTGAGTTACAAAGGAAGACAAAAGGGCCATGTCAGGTTCATCCAATGTATCAAGGCAAAAAGAAAAGGGAGAATTGGAAGCAGAAAATGGAAGAGACATATTTGGAACTGAGAATAGGAAACAGTGTACCTCTCCCAGTATGAGCTTCTTTACTTCTTCTCTTGGAACCCTGAGAAGAAGGCCTTGAAGGTTTTGCATCAGCAACTTCAACATCAAAATTTCTTCGTAAAGTACCTAAATTCTGCCCTTCTGTGCCACTACAGGCTTCTCGTATATATTCTAAATGTTTGTTTTCTTTTCTATCAACTCGTACTTTCTTCACTTGTGATCCTTTCCGATCATGTAACATATAACCAGCATTTGTTCTTTCCTTACTCTTATCCCTAGAGAAATCTGTATTATCAGCTTCCATGCTACCTTCTATATCATCATCATACGTGTCATTATCAACAAACCAACCGCTAGCCACATCTGACTCATCATACTATGTCCAAAAAGAATTGCAAATCAGTCTCAACTTTCTTGATGTTGATAAATAACACAACTCGCAAAAGATAAAGCACCTACCATTCTTTCAGCACTCCGACAAGGTGATGACATCAGACTGTCGGACCTTCTATTTGGTGTCTGAGAAACCTGGGGCGAACCACCTCTCTTTGAAGCCTCTGTCAATGCCAATGCTATACTATGAGCAACATCATCATCATTATCTGCCCTCAGTTTTAGGCCTTTCCTTGTCTGCAGAAAATACTTCTCTCCCTTGATATTCTCGTAAGCATGTGAGACAGGGAAACGAGGTGTCCTTTTTCCAACAGCACGAGGTCGGCTTCCTAAAAGTCAAAGAACAGAAAAGGCAATCTCACAATTTACCCTGTCAACCACTTAACTGCTTAAAAGAAACAAGATAAAGATATATGATTACTCTCTTCATTTACACTAGAAAAAATCTCACTACATCAAAGTATTGAGATAATCAATGAGAAGTAATATACTTACACTAATCTACAAGAGTATGTAGGTGCACAACATACCGTTTTCCCCATATGCAATTAACTTGTGACCAGTTAATGACCAAAAGGGAAACAAAGTGAATAAAATCCAGAGACAAGGAAGAAACCAGTAGCAATAAAGTGGCATACAGAAGCATTGATAGGTTTATGAGCACAACGGAGTGAAAGAAACCATGTTAACTTCAAACAACAATCACTTACCACCAGAGCGCTTCTTCTTCAGTAATGACAGGCAACCATAATCTGATGGAACTGCATCTGGATGCGAACGAAAACGCTCAACAGAGCCTTTAGATGTTGTTTCGTGAACTTTGCGTTGCAGGCGCTTTTGAGGCTTCCTCGACGTTTCCACACCATCATTTCTTTCATGTTCACTATCCCCTTCTTCCTAAATTCAGAAGTGATACATTGACATTTATCAATCCAACTTCTTGACAAGCCACCACAGCATAACCTCATCAAATCATGAACTTAGAAAGTTGCATAATACTTTAATAACATTTAGTTGCAACTCAGATAAAATATACGCACCCCCATCTCATGTAGATGATTAGAAGAATTACTTAGTGAGCAATATGGCAAAAAAGTATGATAAATTTCACGGGAAAGAAAAAAGAGAAATATCTTCTCTGAAATGGAGAACTTACAAAAATTAGCAGCTTATCCTAAAAGAATTATTTGATGAAAGATAAAATTAGAATAAGCAAAACCTTAACCAAGTATTACTAGTATACCTAACAATACCACTTCAAACCAAGCCTTTTACCCAACTGCTGGAGAGTCGGTATAGCAGTGAACAACATATCTAGAAAAGAAAATAAAAATATTCAGGAGTAATGCATAATTCTCATGTCATAAGAGGGACAGTTCTCTTCCCACAGGCCCATCTATATATATTTATGATGCATTCAGTATGTTGGAATAGACGATGGAATTAAACGAGTCACCCCTAGCAAATGAAAAAATGTTGTTTGGTTTACCTTCGGAAAGCAATGAAGGATATCACCAGGAATCCAATTTCATCAAATACATCGTATTTCTTTGTGAAATTTAGCAAATTCCTTTATTCTACATACTCATCCTTCTTCGATAAAATTCTTTGCCATCTTATTACTATATTTGTTGGCAAACAATATCACTTTTGACTTTGTAAATCCTCCTATTCTATTGCTCAAACATTCTGATTTTTATTTTTTTAACTTGTTAAAAAGAAAATAACTGCTATGATAGTACAGTGTTATAATTTAATATTTATAAACTTTAAGCAATGCTTCGAACAGCAGAAGTAAATTTTAGAAGTTACAAATTTATTTGACACAAAATGTAAAATATGATTTTCTACAAATTGAAACAATTTATATGGTGACGAAAAACCAAATTTAAAAAGCATTATCTAATGACAATACAGTCATTTTATGGAATTACTCATTCCACTCCGGAATTGGAAAAAAAAAACATTTTAAATTAAATAAATTGGACGATAATGACCATTCCATTACTTTCTTCGTTTCATTCCTTGTCTCGTTTTATTCAGTTTTCCCCTCAACAACAGATGACCTATTTTCTATCCTAAACATCAATAAGGTATAAGAAACAAGGCTATGAGAACCGAAACACTAGTCCCTGCTAGATCAACCATCGAAACTGCTGCCTCTGGCGAAGGGTTTCTGCCCGCCACAACGGCGCACCTAGCAGCCTTTGGTGAACGCATTGTGGTCTGTCATTTTCTTGGCTGTTGATTAATTATCAAGAGAATGGAAGTCCATGACCCTCGATAAGCCCACATGCGCCTTCCCAGATATCTGATTTGGTGTTCTGACATGTGTAGCTGCCAAGATTTGTCTGTTCTGATCTGGTGTTCTCTCTTGTATGATCTATTATTTGATTTCTATGATGATCCAGGAGTTCCTAGTTTTCCAAAAGGTTCACGGGGATGACTGAGATTATCAGAAAGCTGAGATCAATTTGCTATATCCGAAAGATTCAGAGGTTGTCAATGGAGTTGCTATACAGTATCTGAAAGTTGAGGAGCAAATTTGACAATTTCTGGGGGGAGTTTAATGGGACTATTATTCCAATGGAGTCACAATCTTGACATAACAATTGTCTCAAAAGAGATCATATTGTACTTGTTCTTAAGGAAGAGCTAACCTTTTATTACTTGTTTGCGTTTTGGATAATCCTCTTACTGGTTGTAGGAACACATGTTTCTCCTTTAGGTGAAGAAGAGAATCAGAAACACGAGTCACTAAATTTGATTAGTGGTTGACATTGAGTATGTTCATGATACTCATTAGGATTGACCAACCTGGTGGGTGGAATCACTCAGTTTGCTTGGTGTGGTAGAGTGGACTAGCTCCACTTGGTTTGTTGGATTTATAATGAGCTGGTTGACTGTTTGTTTTGCTGGGAAGACTCGTGCTTTGACTTGGTTCCTGCTACTTGGATCACAACTGTCATTTGGATTCATAATATGCTTAGTCAAGTGCAATCACTGCCTTGTCTTGTTGTTTCCTCGGAATGTTGATTGTCCCACACTCTGGTTCTTTGTGAGATATAAATACTGGAAGGTAAGTTACCAGAATTAGGGTTTTATTGTGTGTACCAGTTTATGCATGTGGACCCATGTCACCCATCTACTTGTTACTTTGGGTTATCCTAACTCCTTACATTGAATTCACTGCATTTTACCTTAGGTACTATTACTCTTCAATAAACAACTTTTTGTTTAACTTTAGTAAGTATACGGTAAAAAGGGAAGAAAAAACGCAGGGGGGATATGTACTTGCAGGAAAAACCAAATATGTGCATTTACAAATGTTCGAGAATAAGTCAAGATTGCAATCTTACCATGTTGCTATAATAATCAGTCATCATTGCAATAAAACCCACAACAGAGGCTGTCCCCTCTGGAAGAGATAAGTAGGCCTGAAAGTGATACAAGTACATTAATTATCCAGTTGAGAAATGGACTGCATAGCTCCTTTGAACACCATTCCAAGATTGATATTATTCAGAAATGATTTCACATGCCCCTCACAAAGTTTTGTTGTTAAACATGACTAATCAATATATATGGGTGGATTCACCAAGTCAGCATTAATATATACAAGTCATAAGATCTTAAACACATAATCAATTTTGTCAAACTACATCAACAGCAATTCCAAATTTATTAGCCAGCTTTTGGGGTAGAAGCACTTAAATGAAATATATAATAAAAAGCTAATGGTAGGTGCATTGCCATGGAACTGCAACCCAAATTTTAGATTCATAGCAGGACAAATGAAATAAGATAATAGTGATCAAACCAACTAAAAAACTCACGTCAAAAGCCATATGTACAATGCTTTCCTCAAATATCTATTGTCTCAAGAATTCTGTTCCACAGAAAGCAGCCATATATTTCTTGATTTAGCCCCAGCCATGTTCGTCTGCCCTTCCTCATAGCAGCATTACCATGAATCTTGGTAATGTTGCCCACTTTCTACCTAGCTAAACCATCTTCAAATCCATTTTGCTTGCAGTTTATTTTCCATTACATGTGTTATTAGGGTTGCATAAAATCTCCTATCTTATTACTGCGAATCTTATTGCTAGCCACGACATTTAATTTAAGAGAGTTCATTTTCAGTTCTCTTGTTTCACATCCCCTGTCTTTGTCACCAGTTACATAACAACAGCCATTTTTGTACCATAAAGTAAAGGCCAACTTCACTGCCTGTCAACTGCACAGTTATTTGTTGATTAAACTATTCTAGATGAACATCACCACTTTACTCAGGTTGATGTAAATCTTCAACCAATAGCATTACCAACCAGTTCATTTTGATTCAGTGTCAACCACAAATAATACACAACAGAATTGTAAAGAACATGTCACCAACTGGAGCTAAGAGATCAAGAGGTTAGGTTTGGTATAGTACAGTTCTATGCATGATTGCATGCTGTAGAGCTCCACGATACCAAGTCAATAGAAAATTTTAAATTACATTGATTTATCTGATTTTCAATATAACTATATCTACATTAAATCAGTGAGCAGTCCCATTTTAAGTAATTCAAGAAACAAGGAATTCACTAACAACATTAGACACAGGTTAATATACTAAATTCACATACAGATATCAAAAGCAACAGAATATTTACAGGATGCAGCATGACATGAAAGGATCACATTGTTAGGTAGAAGGAGAACATGATTACCTTGTTCAGAGAATAAACAGCCTCCACCATTTCTGCAGTGCGGTTTCGGAGGACTGCAGCCACCTAAATATGCATATAGTATATGAACGTTAGATGCCATCACAATTTTCTGATTAATCAACAAAGTGATTAAGCCAACTGAAAGGCTCATAGAAGCCTTGACATCTGCAGTGCTCAAGTTATAGGCTATGTACTGTTGATTAGAAGCCAGCACTTAAGAAAAATAAATGCATCAACTTATTGCCAATAAGTATTTATGTCCTAGAGTAATTCAGGTGACCTTTCTCCAATCTCTCCCATGCTTACGGTATGCTTCATAAAAATGCTCCAGCTCGTCCTTGCTCCAGTGTGACCCCAACATGTCTGACAACTTCTTTTTCTGAAAAGAATAGGGTAGTAGTCTATCACCAAACTAAAATTCTATAGCTTATTCTAGCAGTTGCCACTGATCCTGACAGATTAGCAACAGCATAGAGCTGTATTTTGAAATACTACTGTTTTATTTCAGTAAATTCAATGGGTAGCAAGTGTAGCAACATCATAATGCCAGTTAGATAAACTAAATCCTCAAACAAAAAGCAAGAAAGGGAATTGTAATATAATGTTTTCAAGGTTTTGATTTCAAGAAAGTATCAGAACATCCTGTCAAATAAGACAATTAATTTACAAAACATCCCTCCCACAAATAATGATCTAAATAAAGTACTGCAAAAGACCGAGGTGACAACTTACTTGATATCCCACTTCTAAGGATTTATATGGAGGTTACATTTTATAATTAGAATAGATACAAAGGCAAGGCATTATATCCACACCCCATCCACCTGCCAATCCAACATCCTAGAACCATTACTCCTGGCAGATGTGTACGCATTACACCCAACCGAACCCCATCAGACACTGCTCTAAAATCATTTGTTGCAACAGCTTAACTTAGAGAATAAACTTCCCAAATAGCCATTTAAATCCACAAAACTACATCTTTATATTAATTAGTACACACTACTAAAGACAAACAAAGACCGTCACAATCAATGTAGACGGACTGACGGGGTAACAGTACCACAATATAGTGATAGCTTAGTTTTTTGTAAGTACAATTTACAAAGAAACCACAAGTAATTTATCGAGCATAATGGTGTGATGGTATGTCGGTCTTTAAAGTGAACAGGGGCATCATTGTATTTCTGGTCTTATATGTACAAGGTTGACTCCCATTTCTATTTCAATGATTAATCCTAATCCAGATACAGCTTCTACATCGTCAAAGACGGATATTGTTTGTTACACATTCTCAGAAACAATATCATGCAATTACATACAATGTGAAGAAAATAAGTGTCCTCATCTTGGATGAGGAACTGATAGAACAGCAGCTGGATCCTTCATGAAGCAGCATGAACATGGGAAGTACATGTGAAAGTGCGCCAAATTTCAAACGACCATAACTTTCAATCAGAGTGAAATTTGGGTTGTGATAAATCAAAGGAAAGCTCTCAACGACATGCATGTACGGACAAAGCAACTACGCGGCTTCTGATGACTTTCTGGCCCAAATTCCACCATTTAAGGCCTCAATTAGATATTTGCCCCATTTCAATTTATTTAGTGGTTTTTATTTATTTTATTTAGCAACAAAAGTGTTCAATTGATGTCGAGGATTTCTTCCATTCACATGTTATCTTAGATAGTCAATTTTAGTGTTCTAGTTATGACATTAATTTCTAAGATTTTCGCAAACCTGCTATTTTTGGCAGCATCCTTTATAAAGGACTTATGGGTGTGGCCATATGTTAGGACAAACGTTACACACGCAATACGCACAACCCTACGCACAACCCAAAAACAAGAGAAGAACACAAGAATTTACGTGGTTCACACGATCA